AATGTACTAGTGAATTCATCCTCAGCAGTGACATGTTGGCCCTTTTTGAATCTGTCGCCTGCACCTTATTTTCAAAAAAGTAGACAGAAAATTGTGGCTCTGCTTTATGCTAAATGAACCAAACTAAAATCCTGCGCAGGAACTGGAGTTAAAATCACTTCCTTTGATCCCTCTCCAAATGGGGTGGTAACTGCCAGAGACCGGCCATACCGACACTATGTGGAATTTGTTGAGAATACGAGTAGTCTAAGCTTACGGAAGGTTTCTCAGAAGTACTCACATCGCGATCATTTACTGATTAAAATGTTGTTCATATTTGGTATAAACGAAACTTCAGTTAAAATAATTGAGAAAATGTATGTACACAAAGAAGATGGCGCTGAGCTAACCGGTTATGATTACAAGGCGTCAAATGGACGATTCAGAACGCGAAGAAACAAGTTTGAAAGACTTACTCTAACAATGTTCAAACAGAATCAGCCAAAAGCCTGAGAATGCGATCACAAACAGTACCAATACAATTCTATTTGTCTAATTGGGAAGCAGGGGCGAATCAGCGGAAAAAAGAAGTGAATTTTGGGAGGGGAAATTCAAAATGGTTTGGAAGAATGTGTCACATTACAAATTTTGTAAAATGTCGCAGGCTTCACTAAGCTCACGATTTTATTCGTTTTAAAGATTATCTGAAAATATTTTTGCTTGAAAGTTTCGTGACAAGTTAAAATTAATAGTTACTGCAAAATTTTAGGGGGTGGGTTTCCCTTCCCGTGGATCCGCCCCTGGGAAAGGTAATGATTCCGTAGGAAATGAGGCAGAAATTGGCTCTAATGCAATCTGGGGCCGTCGTGTGCTGCGTTCGCGCAGATGCTGGCGATCGAAGGCGCGGTGACGTGGGGACCCCGACGAGTCCCCTGGTGCCTCCGCGGCAGCTGAGCGGCGCCAGCCTCGTGTTGGGCTCCCTCGTCAGCTTCCACCCGGAGCACTACGTCTTCCCGCCCTTCTAGACACGCACACGAGGTGGCCTATGCCGGTAGGTGCTTACCAGTGGCAAGGTAAAAGAGGACCGATTTTTTTCTTTCCCGTGTATACGTAGTATATGGAAAGTTACGTAATTCTGAGGAAAATCGATTTCGAGATTTCAACGGACACGTTTTGTGGTCCCCAGATACCGAAAAAGTGTTTTTTTTCAAAACGACCGTCTGATGTCTGTGAACACTACTAGCGCCTAAACCATTCGTAGGATTGTTTGCAAATTCAAGAAACCCCCGTCCATCTGATTCGAGTCGAAACATTGAGATTTTGAAAACATTCTTTAAAATTTGGGGGCATTTTACCTGTCCTCCGGACATTTTCACAATTTTCTCAATACCGGCTCCATTTTTTTTCTTTAAACTTCTTGTAAGAAAAGGGCAACTTACACTTATAAACATGGTAAAGGTCAGATTTCCACGTTATTTTCGAAAATTTCAAAAGTATAATTTTTTTCGGTGTTTTCCTACAACTACAAAACTTCAGATAGATATTTTTCCTTCATATAAAATTTGTTCTCCATAGCGAGTATTTTCAGGAAGGCCATTTATATTTGTTGAAAATATTAGTAGTTTTACGCAATATTGCAATATGTGAAATAGTAAAAAAATTACAAAAATAATATTTTCTCAAAAACGGCCTCCAAATTTTTCTTTACACTTTTGGTAGGGATATGTAGTGTTAAATGTACTCTATTAGATATAAACGCCATATTTTTCAAACAAAATTGCCGTTTAGGACGAGGTTTTGCTGTTCTTGAATAATTTTAAAATATTTCCGCTCTACAATTATGAAACCGAAAAATTAAAAAAATGTCAAAAAATGTACGTGGGGTGGCGATAGATGGCAGCTGACAAGAGTATGTGGCAAGTTCGTATAGCAAGCAGAGACCAAAGGAAACATACCGGAAAGTTTGTGCCATTCTTTTGCACCCCTAGTTATAATTTAAGGTACTAACACTACTTATTTGCTATACATTTTTGTAAAGTAAGCCCGTATAACAGTTTTGCGGGAGGGTCCGTACTCATTTCGTTACGCTACTTGTACTTTCTCCCAACAGGCCGATATACGAAGAGACTTCGATTACTATCAACAGCTTTTTAGCTGCAGTAAACCTGACTGTCGATCTGTGGACATAGGCAACTAAACCGTACATAGGATTTTCACGAAAGTGTGAATTCCCCAATTCATATCGTCCGATTCAACACACAGCTTTTAATTTTTGGAGATACTTCACATGAAGCCTCAATCTAATCCTCAATTATTATTATTTTTTGTATATAATGGCTAGAAAGAACGTCATTATGTTATTCCTATTTCCATTAAGGCACAAAATGTCGAGAATTGAAAATGTTTACAATTTTGTCAACCCTTTCCAACTTAATTATTGAAGAGAGATTTCTTACTTAATGAAATCTATTTTACAAAACTTGATCTTCGTTTAACATCAATTCAGTTGTTTTTTCAAAGCTAGTAATGTTCAGATAATTTTGAGTTAATCAAAATTAAAAACAAAAATGTAAACTAGATTTTCCCAAAAAAAACAACAATCTTTTTCTGTAACCTTCTTAAACAGGTATAAATAAGTCTCCTTTACATGACTTTTTAAAATACCTCGCAGTTTGTTAATTTTTACCTTACAGATATATTTCATAATTAAATACATTTGTTCAAATGTTGTATCTCGAAAGTTTTGGAGTGTAAATGAACTCAATGTTGTTGTTTTATATCACTTCAAAGAAATTTTCTGAAAACCAGCTCCAAATTTTAGCCAAAAAATATGGGAACATATTTTTGCTTTTCTATTATTTCTGAAAGCCACATGCCAATTAAACTATTATGGTATCAGGAAATTAAGAAAATAACAATAGTCAGTAATTTTTTATATAACACAATATGTTATATTACACAAATGAAAACTAAACCATTGAGCCCTTTGAAATGATTTTGTACATCATTTTCTGTAAAGTTAACTAATGTTGAGAAAGTCAATGAGTGTGAAGATAAAAGTAAAAAACAACAACAAAAAACCCACTCATTGTTGCTGGGTCAATGAATGTGTTGAATGATACTGAAATAAATTGATTCAATTTAGGCCTATGCACTATGTTGAGCTGAGATTCAATCATTTTAACAAAGAGAGATTTGCATGTGATAGCTGAAATTTTGCAGGTACATAACTTGAAATCATTTACATAGCTATTACAAATTGCTCTAGAAAGTAGTTTTTGTAGCACCACCAGTTTCTAAAACCAAATAACGTGTTTAAAGAGAAAATAAATTCTATAATACATTTTACAACTATTTAAGAAAACAAAATAATTTGTTAAATAATTCTGATGCACATATCTCTGAGCAATAATTGCTGCTAATATTTCCTGTAAAACTACCCTTGGGCAACTTTGAGTTCTATTTCTTAATTTTTTGATTTATTTTGGATTCCAATTACATCTCTGAGAATTCATACCCTGCAAACAATTAGTTAGTTCTTTTCTAGAAAGTCTGTTACAAAATTACATGAATAAAAGTATTTAAAATAGAGTAGAATATTACGAATGCTTATGGCTAAAGAGGACTCATTATTTCAAAAATTCTGCAATGTTCAACTGAAGTTTTCTGCCAGCATTCTCCTTTCGGCTATAAATATTTGAAATGCATTTGTTTGTACAAGAAATTTTTAACTGTTTTCAGGATATAATGGAAATAAACATTTTTCAAGACGTGCTGAAGTGTAATCTTATAACTGGATCATGATAGGCATGATAAGTCATTTCTTCACGTATTCAGGAGAGAAGGTTGCAAGTTGCAAGAAAATAAATGTAATCCCTCTGCATATTTGTTTCGACCCACTACAGAAAGAAAAAAATTCTCATTTTTCCCCCATGAGCACGATAAAAGTTGATTGACAGATAAGTTATCAAAAAGCTACTTCTTGAAAGAAATATTTTGTTGACCCCACAAGAACATATTTTACTTCTGACCTCACTGTCACATTTTGAGTAAAGTCAAATTTTTAAAATGGTGACACTAAGGGCCTCATAATTATTCCACAAGCATTCCATTTAATGCACACTATTAATTCTAATGCAGAGTATTAATTTTAAAAATGTAAAACAAAAGGACAAATTAATGCAGGCATGCTGAGCAAACTTACTAAATTTCTTGTTCTCTTCTAAATTTTTTGATCTATTATATGCATTCATTACAAAAATGTATTATTTTTAGTGAAGGAATAAGGTATTAGAATGGCATGAATTCTACAGGAGCAAAATTCTATATACTTTAATATTGGACAATTTTTAATTGTCTATTTCCATAATCTGATATGCAATCAGTGCTTAGGGGTGGTCCGTAAATTACACACCGCAAATTTGAAGTATTTTCAATACCCCCTCTCCCCCTTGTAACATGCACTTGAACCGCCCTAAATAATTACCTAACAGTTGCTATAACACCTCCCCCTTGTTAATGCAAGAAGTGAAAAAAATTATAGTACAGTAAAAACAATTTGTATATATTTTACTGATGTTGTATATAAAAGCATTTAATGATAATTAAAGTAGAAATTAATTTGCGATGCTGGCTGCACCTAACAATAAGATGGAGGCAAGTTGTAAGTGAAGGAAGACTGCATGGGCGAAAAATGGTTGATCACAAGCTATGCACTCGTGGATGATGCAAAAGTGAGAGTCTATAGCACCAATTTAAATGGATTTCAGAATATACTTCATATCAGTTTTGTATATTTTTTTTGCATTCTTACAGATTTAAAAAAAAAAAAAAAAGTTGAAAATCAATGAATTAGTTATTTTTTTTAATGTTTCAGTACAGGACTCAAAAAGGAATTATTTCAACAAATGTTGAAAAATGTAAAAAAAAAAAAAAAAAATCAATGTTTGTAACACTAAACTAATACCCCCTACCCCTATGTAACTCAGCTTGACTGCCTCAGACCCCCTCCCCCCCTTGTTAGCGTTACGTAATTAATGGACAACCACTTACATTCATTAATATTTAAAGTATACATATTGTCGATTTAAGACAATTCAAAACATGCTATCCTTAACAACTCATATAATTTCTTCCAATCATCTTAATGAAGCAACATCAAAAACTGCAACCTTAATATACAATTTTTTTTTTATGACTTGCCAACTTCAGATATAAAATTGGATAAACAAACGTGAATCGTGTGTTTCAATGGCATTTTGTGCTTTGGACGAGTATGCACACCATAAATTTCATCACCCCAAAAGTTGCACATAAACAATTGACTATTTAATAATTCTTAAGGACTCTGAAACAAGTTTTCAGAAATGACTACTGGAATAGGAACTATTTTCTTTTATAGTAAACTTATAGAAATACACAACAAACTTGATGTTATATTGAAATTCACAACACCTCTATCTTGTGTAAGAGTTTCCAATGAAGTCAGTCCAAGTATGAAGAATTTCCAAGAAATATTAAATATATAAAAAAAAAGATACTATAATATTAAATCCAATTAAAAGACTATATAATTAGACAATGTAAATGCATTACTTGATGTGTGGTTACGAATCACCTTTGTGAACCATAGATACCCTGGAATTGGCTATTTCATCCCTGAAATAAAATATCAGCCAGATCGTTCCTAATTTATTTAAAACATAAATGGGATACTTGTTAATCAAAGCTAACGCTGCATTATAAGATTAAAAAAAATGCAAGCTTTGATAAAATAGTCCTTTGTTTTTCCCCTAAGATCTGCTTACCGTGAGTCAAAGGCATCACTTATTGAAGTTGTACTGAATTTCCGTATTTTTCCAGTTCTATTGAACTTCAATAATTTTTCAAATATTTGCACGATATAACGACTGTTTTAATTGACATACATATCAACAAATAAAACAATAAGACTTCAACTTGTATTATTGACAAGGCATAAATAAAAATATCACAATATAATTGCAAATATAAATCACAAAACGTAAATTGGCTCTACAAGACAAGCATTTCACACATTATCTCTCATATTAATGTTCAGCTGTAATTTTATCTCACTATATAAAGGAGAACAAGAAATAATAACACTCTTTTCTTTTAACAAATATTATAATTTATAAGCTTAAATGCTACAAAATTCTATTTACACAGGAAAATGCACAACCCCTATTTAACTGCTACTAAAGTTTCCAGCTGCTTCATTACATCTTCAGCTTTTAAATTTGTAAGGGGTACACTGCTTTCTTTTCCCTGGGCTGAAAACAAGTTAATTTAGAGAAATATTAATTTGTAAAATACCATTTTCAGTTGATACCTGTGAAATATAACTTACCATATCTAGCATACATTCTGGGTTGAATACCATTGCATTCACGAATTAATATAGGAAATTTAGGATTGGCTTTCTTCAAATCCACATAGTGTTTTTCAATGAAATCTCTGCCAATTTAATGTACATCATGAGTTTGCTTTACACACTCACAAAGGTTAAAAAACATGTTAAGATTCCGATATTACATAATACATTCAATTTTTGTAATTTATTACCTTACTCCTTGGCTCTGAGAAGATTTTTGGCATAAGTGGATTCTTAATTCTTTGAGGTAACCCCCAAATTTCACTGCACGAGCCGCCATGTTTTACACGCAACTGAGCGAATAGTCATTCAACAATCCACATTCGTAAATATGACGAACTGCCATTACGCTAATTTACTATTTATTAAATTGTTGATTTGAATAAATGAATTCAGTTTTTTATGCTACATGTGTAATAAATGTAATTAACATGTTTATTAAACTTTGACTTGTTTAGTACAGTTGACTATTTGTACCACCACAACAATAGAGAAAATCTAAAAATGAAATTGTTCAAAAATCGGACCAAGCCATGGCAACACCTTTTTTTTACCATGATTGCAAAATTTTAGTTTTATTCAACTCACATTAAATTTTATGTATTAAAACGATAATCTAGCATGGTTATCTTCCATCTTCCCGGCCTTCAGGAATGAAATCATCCAACACTTTGGTGGAACCTGAAATTGAAAGTGAAACTAGAGGCCATGTACGGGTCTACTGGTTCCCGCGGGATTTTTCTCAATCTCGATTCGGGGACAGAGCCACCGGTTAGTTCAAAATGCCTTATATTTATGGGTAAAGTGCATTGTTCAAGCAAATGATTTCATTTTTGTAATGAACAACTTTAGTCGTACGACATTCTTTGTAAATTTTACACAGAATTCAATGTTAAACGATGAGTAACCGAGAATCGTAATCTACATTGCAATGCATTTAAACAATAACAATTGAACGTCTTTTGTCAGGGAGTAATGCCTGCACGTTAATAGCACTCTTGATGGCTCAAAGATGTTATCAACAAGAAATCAAGATATGCACTCCGGATAATCAGATCAGCAAAGCTACTGTCAATGCGTTGGCAGAAAGCATACTCGAAGGTATGGATTTATTTTTCCTCTCCCCTTTTGAAGTTCGATAGAAAAAGAAATGCAATTCAACATGTTAATGTTGGTCGCACTGCTTAAGCGGATGTTCAAAAGTCCTAGGACGGCAATCGAGAAAGTAGAAACCAGGAATAACTTTATTGCTGAGTTTCAATTGTATTCATTTCTGTAAATCAAATTCATAAATTTTTGAAATTGTAATTTACATGAAAGTAATACTATTCTGGAGAATTTACTCATAGAAAAAGGAAATAGTGATGTTGCATAATTAAATATTACACGTGACAACAGATTTCACTTTTCAGATAAACAACTGATCATGTTTTCCTTTACATTTGATTTTACGATAAAAACTGCATGCCCGCACATTTCCTTACACTACTTCTGGATATTTTGTTTCTAATGAGTACCCACGAGATAATGACGTATTTGATTGTATTTTGAAATATAATCACTAAAGACCTTTAATATTTGGGAATAAAATGTTGCTAAACTCTTTGAACTACAGTTCCGTCGAAGTGATCGTAAAGTTAAAGTTGTTTTGCTAGTGAATGGTATGTATTTGTCTTGTTATTTGAAAATGCTTTATTATCAATAGATTATTTGGGTGATATTTTCGGTTTAATCATGGTTGATGTTTGCCAAAAATTGAAAATTGGCACATAAAACCTGAATATTTTGAATCATTTGGCTAATTAATGATTCCAATGAATTTTACTTAAAAAATAAGTGAAAAAATTATTGAACTTTTAGTACCAAAATTGGATCTATACTGACTTCTTTTTATACAGTTGTGTGCTGATGAAATTTGACGACCTAGATTTTTCAAACCAAAATATAATTTTATTTGCGAAAGGCGACTGTTCTTTAGTAAAGATACATTTTGCATCCCTGATATAATTTTAACAGCTATTCAATGAAAAGTGAGAGTCGATTTTTACATAAATCGTTCGACTATTCATTACAATACAAATAAAAACACCAATAAAATGTTAACTTGATTACGAAATATGTTACAAAATATTGTATTTTTCCTTTTCTACACAAAACTGGTGAAATTATTATGCAAAACGCTTACGGGTCAATCCATTCAAATTAATAAGTAAATATCACCGGTACTCACACACACACACACACACCGACACACACACACAAATTACGCATCTAAAAAATATCAAGCATCCTGTCCAAATCTGAGAGTGAGTGGAGCCATTTTTCGTGGTCAATAGCAAAGTGGTTTATTCTATTTACTGTCTTGTTTGCTTTTTGACTGTCTTTTTAACTATATTTATATGTTTGCTAGTAAAATATATTTTTAACGTATTTCCTCACTTAACTAAAACATTACGATTTTTGAGATTTGTAACTTTTATGATGCACCGTCGATACGTAGTATCAAAAACGAAAACCATAATATTTGGATATTTAAATGGAAACTCTTAATATAAGAAAGTAAATTTTCATCCAAAAGGCACATCTCAGGCGCAGGATACCAGCCGCGCAAGGTAAACTGCGTGCAATGTTCCCTCAGGGACCCTGAAAGCGCATCATGGCTCACACCACAATTATTGGCTTTTTTGCGTTTCGGGGACTCTAGAGTAGAGGAAGTCAATTGCTGCTCATTAAGGCTTCTTCGAGTGAAGGTCGGAGACAGCTGATGGCTTCACTGATCCTATCCTATTACAGGTTGCAGCCAAGGTATTACTGAATCACCCATCTTTTATTTGAATAATGCTAAAATAATGGAACGCTTCGCCTACCGGATGGTCAGAAGTGCCGTGGGGCCTCGATTCACAGTTGTGGGCTTAAGTTCCAAATTTACAATCTTAGCTTAATGAAAATAATTTAATTCATCTTCCCACATTTCAGCAACAAATAAATTATAAGAGGAATGCGTTAGTCGTTTACAGTGACTTATCATTTTCGAGCAAAGGTGTTTCAATTGTTGAATGCCACAGCTGCCTTAATTTGCCCTTTGAAGATGTAAAATTCTATATTGAGTAAATATGAGGAAAGATTAAAATAATTCATCTACAGTGAAAGGTGTAACAATTTCCTTTGATGTCATCGAACGGTGTCACTGCGCTCCACAATCTCCGCTTATCAAACCGTACTTTTGCAAACTATGGTCAGTCGTGCAGTGATATACCTACACGGCGTCCTCTTCGATATCTCGACCCAATTTTTTGAACTACCTCATTCCTAGAAAAGGTTAAAATACCATACCGCATGGGAGGCCAATCACAGTCCTTGAGATGACATACTCGTAAGATGATAAAAAAATGGTATAATCACCTAGAAATGTGGATAAAAAAAGTGCTGTTGCCAATTGTCAAACAAAAAATTAACCTAAAAAATGTAATTTTGAAAGAGAACGGAGTTACCTTGACCGGAATCATTTATTTCGCGAAAAAATATAATATCTATGTACTAGCTGTATCGTGAACTATTTTTATGGATTTTTTACTAATAAAAGATACTATTTTGTATATATATTCTCAATTAACACCAAAATGAAATGCCATATTTGTTCGTTGGTTTTTACAACTTGTGAGAGTTACAAATATAAACTATATGAAGGCTAGTAGTTGAAAAAATGTAACCGCGGATAACTGTAACACAGAAATAAAACAGTTACAATATTTTGTGTTCTTGTTGAAGAACAAATGTATTATACGCGCACATTTTTCTTGAGCCCTCATTTCGCTAGGTTCGAGAGGGATTGTTGACGGGGGGGATTTCGACTACAGGATTGTTATATCAAATCTGTAGCTAGTTTTTCGATGCAAAATAATGTATATTGTAAGGGAGCGAACTTCCCTGGTAATTAAATTTTGTCAACAATGCTCGTCACTAACATTCATTCTTAATACAACTAATGCATTATAATGATAGTAAACGAGTGGGGGCGTAGGTATTCCGGGGTTCAAGAAAATTTGCGTGAATAATACATTAAGTTAAAAAAACACACCCTTAAATTTCCTTAACACATTCCAGTTTAAAAGACCAGTGAATAGAGATATTACAGTACGAAGGGACCTCTCTGACAGGTATTGCTGGCAACATAACTGGAAGTTCGTATCCTTACTCTCAATTCGGTTGTGCGTTCCTTTACAATTAGCTCATTTGCAAATGGATTCATCACTGTGTCTTGAAATGCCATCACCCTATACGACGATCAATCGTTTCCCGACCCGTCAAAGCGGCCCCTTCTTAGAGTAACCCAGTGCAGTCGCGAGGAAACGTAGTTCCCCCTCGGGGCACGTGCGGGTTATCTATTGTAAATGGATTCATCGCTTGCGATGCCGTTGCCCTACACGACGATCATCCGTATTCCGACCCGTGAAAGCGTAAACAAGCGATGGATCTTAAGAGCAACCCAGTGCAGAGGCGAGGCGAGGTGCCACTGGCAGGCACGTGCGGGGGCGGTGGTCGCGTGCGCAGGCAACGCGCTCCACGAAGCGCTGCTGGCGCGCGGCGCGCTGCGGCACGTGAACATGACGGTGCCGGAGGCGATCGCGGCGGCGGGCGCGCGGGCCAAGTTCGTGTGCGAGTGGCGCTCGCTGGTGTACCTCATGGACCTGGGCGCGTCGCTGTTCGAGCAGCTGGCGGAGACGCTGGCCGACTGGGAGCGCAACCCGCCGCCGCGCCGCCACGGCCACGACCTCTACGTGGTGCTCATCGCCGACAACCGCTCCGTGCTGCTCGTCTTCCAGAAGGACCAGGACCGGGTGAGAGGGCGGCTGCCGCTTACGCAGTGGACATTGTTTTCTAATGAGAAACGGCGAAGTTTCCGGAGAAATGGCGCCATCGTTTTTGTTTATATTTTATGTTCTCTAGAGAGAAGGACGTTTAAGAGAAAGTACAGGTCTCATTTTTGTTGAAAACTCTGATTTTTCGAAAATTGAAAAAAAATCAAAAGTATTTTGGCTACAATTATGAAGATAAAGATTTTTTTCTCTTAATAAAATTTGTTCCTTAAAGGTACATTTTGAAATAAGTTCACGTACAATATATCGAAAATTTGAGTTCATGCTAGAAAAGACTGACGATAAAGTACAGCTGTTTTAGCACCACTACAGTTTTCAAAGCACACCGGCGCGGTTCGCGGCGATAGTTTAGGGCGATAACTACAGTGGCTTTGATCTGGAAACCCTACGGTTCGAGTCCTCGCGATGACGGGTTTTCGACACCAGCTATGTTCATAGCTAGGTTGAATTCAGCAGCAAGCTGGAGGAGCATTCTTTGGAAAATTCATTGGTTTGCGATCAAAACGACGATTTTTAACTTTAAATGATGAACTTTATCTGATTAGTAAGAGCATTTAAAAACAAAATTTAGCAGAAACTCAAAACTTTATTACTGGCGTCTTTTTTTGACCTTGCTTTTTATTTTCAAAAGATCTGGACATTTACACAGAGCTATTTGTAAACCTCACAACTAGACAGACGCCGTAATGTGCCTGGTGTAAACTGTGGTTTCTGTAGGTAACTATTGTCGAAGCGTAATAACGAAGGGCTGTGCCAGCGTTTCTGTATTATCAAAAGCTTGTTTTCGAAATTCTGTGAACCAAATATTTTTTATTGTGAATATAAAAAAAAAAAAATTGTTTCATCCGAACGATATCTTCAAAAAGTTTCGCAAAATGCATAGCAAATCATGGAACCCCGATAGCGCAACTTAATCTCAGTAAAAACGTGCAAGAATCAGGGCACACTCTAAACCATCGCACTGTTTCTCCCACAAGTTCATACCAAGTTGGAACGGCGCCTTATAACAGGTCTCGTGGTTCTATGACTATTTCTCAGCTCTTTCCAAACTAATATTGTTTTATTATGCTTGTAGATCGATTAATTAGGAATTTCATGTCTAAAATATTTAAAACGCATTATTTTTCTTGTTCATCATGTCGCCGCTTCGCTATTGATTTCTAATGTGTCTAACTCGGAAACGATGATCTTAACACCATGTTTGGCGTGTCACTGCGGGAAAATGTGCTATAGATGTCCTGCTCGCGACCCAAGTTAGGTTTTTTTTTTTACAAAATGGAACTTTTGGAAGTTGAATTCCGTTTTTGGAAGGTTTTCTTGCCCCTCAGCATGGGTTATCAGAAACGCGTTAGTTGGGTTCCAGTGTAAAGCTATTTTCACTTTTAAAACGATTTAAAATGTTTGCTGGTTACTGCAATTTTTTTGGGCCCTATTATTATTTTGCTCAGGTTCCTTTTCTTCTGGGTACTCTTGTTATTCAGAATTTCTGTTCCATTCCGCAAAAACGACACTGCACTAGCCGCCGTCTTGTTTGTAAAAGTATTAAAAAAAATTAAATTTCCAAATAAAAATGTGTGGAAACAGATGCGGAACATTTGGGGAGACATGCGGTTATCAGTGGTATAGCATATGTAGTGAGACATACATCTTAGGATATCAATAGGAAACATTTGGTGTATATGCAGGAAACTAGCTGGGAGAATGGGTGGGAACATGTGAGGAACTACCAGGGATCATGCTGAGAATGTGTCGTGATGGGGGAAGTGGAACTCATGTTTTGTTTCTTTAAACAGTAGTCTACAAAATGAGACACTTTTGAACTTTCTTTTTCATTTTTGGAGAAATAGCCTTTCAAGAGTACCCCCACTCCACAGCTTGCATTAGTGGTAGTCTCAAAAATAGTTCAAATTTTTTTCTTCAAATTCCTTAAAAGAACAGAGTGATTTTCACTTATAAAGATAACATAGGTCTGATTTTTACTGGTAACTCTGAATTTTCGAAAATTGCAAAAGTTAAAAAGTTTTTTGATGTCTTCCTTTAACTACAAAATTCAAGATAGTGACATTTACATCATACGGAATTTGTTTTCTATAAGTAGTTCTTCATTAAGATCTTTAACATTTTTTTGAAAAAAATTAGCAATGTGTTTAATATTAAAAAATAACATCAATATTTCATCAATCATCATAAAAAATGGCTTTAATTTTTTTTCTTAAAATTTTGGTAGGGTTACTGCTGTATGTACTGACAAATGCTTTGCTCTTTTCTTCTGTTTTTTCAAAAATGTATTTTTTTGACTTCTCTGACATTAATTAGAAGCGATTTGTTCACATTAATGCATTAAGAGTACATATGCTTTAAATGATAAAGTTTCTTGGAAACTCAAGTTTCCTATGAAAATAAGCTCAAAATTCCGCATTTTCAGAAATGCTCAAAAGTCATTTTTGCAAGCATGGCTCCAAATTTTTTCATCAAAATGTTCCTACGGACAGTATTAATTGCACTGTTTAAGATGACATCAAAGTAATTTTGCTGTTCTTTTGTTTTTTCAAAAATTAAGCAAATGTATATTTTTTAAAATGTCTCTCACGTCGTTAATATATCATTTCCAGCGATGTATATACATTATTGTATTTGTGAGTGGAAGTGCTTTAAATGACTTGTAATGAAGTTTTTCAAAAACTCGTAAGTTTTCTGTGTACAAGAGCTTCACATTTCGCATTTTTAATGACATGAATTTTTTTAAAAACAGCTACAAATATGATTGGCATCAGTAACTAATGATTCATTTTTTTTCATTTTGAAAGTGAAGAGAATTTTGACTTTTAAAAATTCTATGTTGGTGACATTTTGATACCACTGATACAAATAGTTTGTATACTATTACAAATACACATGAGTTACATGTTCCATCATGGATGATAGTGTGTATAATTAAATTTCATTAGAAATGAATTTTAGACTGTATTTAAAAGGTATAACTTCTACAAAAATCTGTAGAACAGTGCAAGTATAAGGAAAACTTGTGAAATAAATTCACATTATATATGAAGAATGATCTATAAGTTATAAAATATACTATTACCTCACTGCATAAGCTACTTGACTAGTATCAATAATCAAAAAAATATGATAAAACTTACACATAGCTAAATAAAACTTGGTGAATATGTTCCTGAATATTTTATGTCTTTAATAATGCAGTATGTTCTAACATATCATTCTCTTTCAGTGATTATTAGTTAATGATAACCCGTAAATTCATTTTTATCTTTGTAATTTAGTTACAATCAAAGAAAACTTATTAAAAATGACTGAGTTTAAGTATTTGAGATTCATACTTATAATTAACAAAGTCCTAACAATTTGCAGGTGAGTCTCATCGATTCTCACCAACATCAGGCTCATGGTGCAGTGGTTGTTCAAGTGCAGACAGCCTATCTTCAACAGCTTTGTGCATGGTATAACTCTCTTCTTCAGTCATGTTATGGTGCAAGACCTGAATGTTATGAACTGAGTTATCTCTACTTCAAATGTTTTGAAGCAGGAGAAATGCCATCTGGATAGATTGGAAACAAATACACAATATGACATTGTAATGATGATCATGAAATTAAAAATAATACCCAGTGCTTATTAAAACAGTTTATTGGATTCATTCGCTCTGAACGGATGTTTCATTTATACAATAACTTATGCATTCTACATACCAATGCTTTCAAGTTTATTAACAAAAACAAGCTCTCTAATGGTAGAATACATTTTGCAGCTGTGAAGTGCTTTGTACATTAGATAACAGCTGAGATAAGTAATGTTGTCATGGGTGTTCATTTTCAAATAATTATTCCTTAACTACAAATTTATACACGTTCCATGAGTGTTTTGCCATGCTTGGCATGGTACCGTTCAAACTGTGCTCAACACAAGCAGGTCAACAACCTGTACGCTGTCGTCTTCTGGAGTATTACAACTTCATATGAACTGAGATTGCATATGGTTTTACTTATCATATGCTAACACCAGCATAGAAGAAATAAAAAATGAGGATTTGTTGACTAATTCAGCAGGCACTCTCAGCCCTGAGAGTTGAACAACACACACACAATTCTCATTCAGAAAATAGAAGTATAGAACCACTCACACAAACACACTAGAACATTCAATTCGTCTTTCTGTTAAGAGGTAAAGAAGCCTGGAAAGCAGTTGAGCACTTCAATTCTGAAGACAGACTTATTGACATACATACAATGAACTCACACTTCCAGTAACTGCATATAGTATAATCTTTCCATGGATTTGTGTAAAAATTGATGGGTCCATCAGTGAAGAAAGAGAATAACTGGAACACCTACTACCTCTTTAGCTATTACTTTTTACAATATGTACACATAATATAATAACATCTTGCTCACCAAGTGCACTACATCATTACCTGCTATCCTGTTCTAGGATAATCTGTCTTACTCTCTTATATATAACTCTTCCTCAGGCAAATGTTATCCAAGTTATTTCATTTAAATCGATGTCAGTAATGAAAATTTTCTTGGCAAATAAAGGACAGAAAATGTTATTTCTAAATCCTCTGCTCAAGTTGTTGGATGCTGCTATTATCACAACTTTAGGTCCGTTCTCTTTCATGCTCTAATCTGCAAAAATGGTACCCAAGTAATCCTTAAGTGGTGGATTTTACACACCATTTCTAATATAACCTGCTGATGAAACCGTGTTGGAAAGATTTAAATCTTCAAACATTAACATTATTCTCAAAAAAATCACTAAGTAGTTCCAAATGGAGATTACCTAGTTCATTAGGACTGCTTTTTCCATTTGTTCCACAAATATTCTATTCACTACATTGAAGTGCTTAAGCACTTATGAAAAGTATTGCGATCGTGAGGACATAGCTAGCCAATTCTGCCATAAATGTCTGGACAGAGAATATCTCTTCTTGCATTAATTTTGTGGACAAGCAAAAGCTTTTTTATAGAAGTAACCGTTTGCATGAGGTCAAGTGATATTGAATTAGGTGAGTTAATAAGTTTCAGAGCAATGAAAACTAAGGGCAAAGATACCTATAATATTACTCGGAACTAAATTGGAAATCCACTTGTGTGATTTTTGATAAGTGAGCTTTGTTAGGTAATTAAGCACAAAACTGTGCTTCCACTGCCAATGGTCAGGCACCTTACAATTTCCACAGACAGCAATGGAGATTAACTGTACAGTGCAGTATTTAGCAAGAGAACAAATGTGAAGATGTTGAAAACTATCTACAATTATAGAAACCAGTTAACTGTAGCTGCCTTTTTGATTATTTGCTAAGATTTTACTTTTTAGCAGAAAATTCACAACAGGTTATTTAAATGGAAGTTGCTTTACTAAGCAAGAAATAAGTCTTTCTTAAATGCAAAACAAGGTGTGTAGATCTATTTTGAACTTTAATATTAATAATTTCTGAGTATCTTTCCTTAATGAGAATATCTTTCTAACAGCCATAAGTACCCACAATGCTTACAACTAAGGATCAAACAAAAAGATAATACAACTAACGAGAAGAGAACTCTCACATCAACGCATTCAATTTTCTGGAGATGATGTAATCCAGTGGAAGTACAGTTCTCTTCTTATTAAGTATTCAAAACCCACCAACTTCACACTGCTTTTATAATGAAATATCAGTAGGAAGAAAAGGCCTCTAATTCTTGCTGGTCTACTCAGAACTGAAGGAAGAGCTAAATAAATTCATGATTTTTTTATAAAAACTATTAATTTTATTTTTAATTATGAATGAACTGATAACATATGCTCATTATAAACTTCTGTAGAAATGCAAAGTACCTCTGAGTCTTTCATAAGCAAAACAAAAACAAAACAAAAAACAATCACACGAAAATCACGAATACAATTGCTTTCCACAACCTTCAAGTTCTGAGCACATTAATGAAGAAATGTTTTCTGTGGCAGTGGTTCAACAAACGATGCAGAAATTATTATTATTATCACTCTGTGAAACTTGGAGCACACATTAAATGTTTTCAAAGAATGTCATGAAAATCTTTGTATTACATTAGACGAACACTTGTTTCAGTAATACTGACCAAAAATGAAGAACATGCACCCACAATTAGTTGTTTAATCTGTCACAAGGCTGCTTTGAATTGAAAATGATCATTCAGCACCAATAATGTTCTTTGAGAAGTTTCATAAGTTAACAACTTTATTCGAATAATTTTTTTTCTGAGTTGATTCTAATATCAAATGCCTGAAAAATAACACTACTTGTGTCATCTCCTGTCCAGGCTCAATGAGTAACATCAGCAATATGATGATCTTTTACAGTTGTAATGTTGCAGGAATCGTGTTAGAAATATGTAGGAGTAATGCTCTTCAATCTTAAAACACAGTACAAAACTGATTTTTTGGAGATCAAATGTAAAATAACATGCACTCCAAAGCTTCACTTCAATTAGCACATCACAAATAAGGTATTTTAAGTCTCAGCAACATGAGGGAGTCTGTTGCTCTTTCTATACACGATGACAAAATGACTAGCTCCCTACATCTGCAAGATGAGAAAGAACACAAATATGTAATACAAATTACAGGGGCATCCAAATATTAACTCAATGAACAAGTAAACAAACAACACTTTATTATATTACATGATTCAAACATTCCCATAAACAAGGCTGACAGAAATCTACAAGAATTAAAAGTCCTTCCTATACAACATACCCTCTTTGTTTTAAACTTAACACTGCTGGACACACAACTTATATCCACATCTGATGCAGAAAAGACATCCTACTAATTTGTAGTACATAAAGCACCAAAACCTTCCCATTCACTTTTCACGTTGAGCTAATTATACAGCACAGTTATAAAATTAGTTAAAGAAAACACTTCTTTAAAAATTGAAAACTTCATTATTTTCATGACATTCCCTGATCTATGGGACATCACTAGCATATAAAGGAAAAATAACATAAAATATTATTAGAAAAAAATTTCATGAAAATAAAATCCAAAAGAGGCTAAGAATTAATAGACAAGTTGGGCAGCTCACGCAGAAAGGTTGGTAGCAGCATCCAGCAGGTGGGGGCTGCAGATAGGTTAAACCTGCGTGGAGTGGGGAGCACAGCTTGAGGTCACCATAGGATGTGCATATTCAACAAAGTCATCAATAAGCACAGGCCAGGCTCCTTCTTCATCATAATTGGACATATCATCGTTGATCATGAGAGCAAAATCCAACAAAAGATTCCATGTGTCTCTAGGGATGGACCGCTTATGGTGTTCCTACAATGTAAAATTCACGAGAGTTTAATAATTCAACTGTGCTAAATGAGATTATTCACGATATCCAAGACATGAAAACCTGCACATGACAAATCAGTTAAAATAAAAATTTATGCTGAATGAAATGTGTAAAATATAAATAAAGATAAGAAAAATATCAATAGATAAAAATGAAAAAAATACCAACAATAGGTGGTACTGAGTTAATGATAAAACACAAACTTGATTACTCAACACTAAAATTTTAAACAATGGCTAAATTCTGATGAAATAATTAATGATTAATCTTTCACATACCTGTAAAAATTTGCACCATAAATCTAAGAACTGGAACTTGCCCTGTAGAACTATGTTCCAATATGCAATGGCCATATCAAGATCTAACCCTTTTTGGCCAGGATTCTTCGCGTAATTAAACGTGAAGTGGTAAAAGTCTTTAAACCTTAAAGGATCTTTAAGCTCCAATTCTAAGGATGGTAATCTTGCTTTCAGCTTCTCAACACTGTCAGCACTGAAGTACAGACAAAAGTGATTTTAAGTGCCACGAATAATGATATTCAGTTCATTAATACAAACATTTCATATGACATATTCCAACAAAATATAACAAAAGAATGTTCAGGAAAGAAAATTGTTTGGATTAGATGAAAGATTAAATTAGATTCATAAATGTCGAATGCAAAAGGTAACAACAGAAAACAACAGGGTAATTGTAACTAACATGATCTCCAAAACAGAAGCAAGGGAGTAATATACAAATTAACTCTGAGATAAACTAGCAAATAAATATGTAAAAGATGAATAATATGAACTAGAAAAAATTTGAGATAAATGTTAATAAACATCTGAAAAAGAAAACAAATGAAACTGAAGAACAAAATTTGAAGAGGGAAAACCATCTTTAAAGATGAAAAAGAAATATTCCATAGTCCTGCAAAAAAGCATTTCATGAAAGAAGTCTGCAAGTAGTTTTCTGTCTGAAGTAGATACTCACATTTGAGATACATAAATAAAATAAAAATATACACATCTTCTGAAAAAAATCTTGAATAACACTTCAGCATTATTAAATTGCATACTTATTCACGTTTTAAGCAATGAGAAAAAGGCAGTTTCTAAAGAAATTGGTCTTTCAGAGGCAAATTTTGAAATATTTCAGAAACTCGTAATATAAAATTTGCAACAAATCTAAGAGTTGCTATAAAAACATATTTCATATATTAACTCTTCCAAGGAGAACACGTCTACAAAGAAGTTTGTAAAATGTTTTAAAACCATAATTTAGTTTTGAGTCCAAAATTACTTATCTTTGGTATCACTAAAATTTTTAAATTAGAAATGTTCACACATCTTTATTTAAACTGCATCTCACCATTGACATAAGCCAAGTGACAAAGGGCAGAACAGGGGTTCTCAAATTGTGGTACAGGTACCATAATTTGAGGGGCATGTGAACAATTATGGGAAGATTTGAAGAAGAAAGAGCCACATAACTGAAAAGTCCCCAGCATAATCCAGATTTTCAAGATATTTTAATATCTATGTACAGATACACATACTTTGAGATTGGTTATAAAGTTGAGTTTCTTCCTCTTCCTTGTAATTATTTTCTATGTAAATTTAAGAGAACTTTTTCAATGACTTAAAAAGGCCTAAACTCAAACAATAACTCCAAAACTACTCTAAAGGAAATTTCAACATAGAGATACATTAAACTTTTGCTCAAGCATCAGGATACAGTCATTTAAAAGTTTGAGGACATCTTTTAGAGCAAAAATTAACCAAACTTAGTAAAACTTGACAACTGTACGTGACTGGTCATTACCCAATAATTATTAGAATTAAAGTTCAATCCTCTGCAGTGAAGGAAGTGTCACACAGTTCAGATTTTCAGAATTCCTTAAAATAAAAATGTTGATGGGGATCAATGATTAAACTGTCTTCATTGACAATATAGGACTAACTGGGATCAATCATGAAACATTTTAACTTGTTTAACTATTAATAAATACATATTTCTGAGTGTGTTAGTTGTCTTTTACAGAGTAAAGTTATTATATTATTGTATTTTTCTCAGAGAGCATTTAATGTTTATAATAACCAATGAAAATATTCTTTATATAAGCATTCCATTTATGTCATTTACAAACTGAATTCAATATTATTTTAAAGTTATTGGAAATAAAACGTTCATTAAATACACAAAAAAAAATTACAAAATACGTAATCAAACTAAAATGAAAATCAGTTAAGCAAAGCTTAAATTTGCACTGCTTATAAAATAATTAGAATAATTTTTAATTTAATTTGAATAAAACAAAAACAAACACTCAAAAGAATAAGTTCACATAAAAAAGAATGTGAATGCAGACACCAATACTTTTCAACGTTAACCTTGGATCACACGATTTCGTAATTTCGTTTCATAAATGAATTCAGGCTGCCTCACTCACACAATTCATTTGACAAATGTAGAAGAAAAGCTGGTAATTAAATTAAGAATCTTGCAATAATTCATAATTTCTGCAATGTCTCCAATTGGTTGGCTTTCTGCAATTCTACTGATACTTTTGTTTACTTCAAATATCTTTGTTTATTGCAATAAAATACTACCATTGAGTTTCACAGTTTGAGTTCGATGTCAACTTGCATTGCAACACATAACTAACTAAAATTCTTTCAAATGTGCAGGACATTTTGCCTAGTTACAATTACAAAAATCTAATGGAATGAGCAAATCTAACAGTATTGTAAAAAAACAACATTGAAAGTACAAAAATCTTTCAAAATATTAATAAGACATCTATATTAGCAATAACATTTACAATAAAATAGACAATTTACCAATTAGTCATTCAGTTTTTTCTTTAATGAACAGAATAATGCATGCATTTGTATCTTACCCTAATTCAACCATGCCATTCATAAATTCATCCTTAGTAAATTCACATTGGGTTGCTGCTCGGAATTTCCATGCAATGATAAGGACAAGTTTAGATTCTGGACTTAAATTTAAATCTTCTAAAAACTTCATAATTCCTTCAGCTGTCATCTTGTCTGGCTCACTGGGATCTAACAAAAAAATTAACATTTTTACAGAGGTTAGAACTACTCTTCACTTCACACTTTTGAGAAGATGCACATGGAAAATGAAATTCAATGGCAAACCTCTATATCTTGTAAATAGTTGCTCCAATTTCTTTTTGTCAACAGACACCTTTGGTTCCCTGAAGTAGACATCAGGATTTTGGAAATAGTTGTCGGATGCCAAGTCTAATTTCCAATCGTTCTGTGACAAGCAAAATATGGCAGTGTTTTCGCCTGTTTGTGTAAAAGCTATAAATTTCTTCACCTTGTCTCTTTGAGAAGATTTCAATTTATGCTGAAACGCGACAGTGAATGCGTCAGAATCACATTAATGACAAAACAAACAACTTAATTCTTCAGAACGGGTATATTCGGAACCACACGTCTTACATAACCAAAAATCAAATTCAATCATAAAAAAATTACCATTTTTAACTTATTTTCGGTCAACGAGACCTAAATTCTTCACACTGCCCTTGACATAAAAGTGTGCATGTTTCAGGTATTCGGAACTCACGATAATCGTCCACAGAAATAATGAAAGAAGTCCTGCAATTCCTCAGTTCAGAAATGCAATACCACTATCGGACGTGCAATATATAAATTACAATCACACGAAATTTTAGAAAGCCTACACCAATTGGCAGAAAATCTAGATCATGAAATAAAACACTATTTCGCCACCGATTTTCAAGCCTCTCGACAAATAATGCAAATAATACAGCTTTCACTAACGTCTCGCTGCGTGAGACATATTTTGGAAGGCTGTGGTTTGTGACGTCGTGAGGCCACTGTTGAACAAAAGCGGGACAAATGAAAAGCGCACTGATGGCGGATTTTAAGTATCCCGTTCGGTCCATCTCCTTTCTTGAATTATGTGGCACTGATCGTGCTTTGTTGTAAATATATCTTATTCATTAAATACTATTCAAAATAGTGGTTTGCTTTTGCCAATTCTAGCATAAACAAAACCCCATTTGTTTGATTTTCTGATTGAGGTTAGAAATCTGTCAGTGATGCTATTAAAAACTATGAGGTTGTTATTTGTCTCTGAATTGAAGATTCTTGGCAGACGTGATTGTCATCGTAAATTTAATGAAAAGGTACGCGTGAGGTTTGCACCAAGTCCTACAGGTTAGCATTAAGTTGCTTTTTTTTATTTTCATTTCAAATATGATGGACATTTAGTGTACTAAAAAAAATAATTAATAAAATAACTTATAATTCAATTTGTATGCTAGATAATGCCAATAAATGACTTTCAGGATATTTACATCTAGGAGGTTTGCGGACGGCTCTTTACAACTATTTATTTGCAAAGGCAAATAATGGCACTTTTATTCTGAGAATAGAAGATACTGATCAAAGTAGATTAGTAGATGGTGCTGCAGAAAAGCTTGAAAATGAGCTGGGATGGGCTGGGATGGAACCAGATGAAAGTCCAAAGAAAGGAGGATTGTTTGGGCCATATAAACAATCAGAACGACTTATCTTTTATAGGTATACTTAAATTTAATTTAATTCTATAGATATACTTAACAGAATTTAAAATTATTATGTATTGTCTTCAATTTACAAAGGTCCCCTCTCAAAGGTTTAAGTAATATATTAATAATAAAGATAATAATAATAATAATTGTAATGTTTGTATGATTAATAATTGTATGTAATTATGTTAGTTGTGTTAGTTAATAATTGTTATTTACAATTTTCAAATGATATTTTAGGAAACATGCAGACCTTCTAGTTGAGACAGGTCATGGTTATCGATGCTTCTGCACTCCTCGACGCCTTGACTTACTTAGGCGTGAGGCAGCTCGAACACATCAAATTCCACGATACGATAACCGATGTCGGACATTGACGTCAGATGAAATTCAGAAGAAACTCGAAGAAAACACTCCATATTGCATACGATTTAAGGTAGCATGACATTAGTGATGTATCTGTCTAAACATTAAATCCACAGTTCATTTTTGATAGTATATCTGATATAATCACATTACAAACTGATTCAGCATTTCTTTGAATTTGTAATATGCTTTGGAAGATGACAGAGATGGTGGTTTTCTTCAAGCGATATTCTTGACTTCAGGTTTTCCAAAATAATAATGTTTGGAATATTAATAAAATGATTTCTATAGAAATTTATAATTAATTACATATTTTTAATTACATAGCACACATTAAAAAAAAAGAAAAGAAACTGGAACATTTTAAACAATTTATTTTCTTTTAAAAAAGTGAATGAATGTTGATTTTGTAATGTACTCATTTGGATTCAAGGTTTAGTATCTTGATATTGTCTTAAGGATCATGATAAAGCAAAGACGTCATATGAGACTGGAATATTTTATACTGTTAAGAATGATTGGATAAATTTCACTTGGAATTATAATTTTTTAATTGTTTTTTACAGCTTACAAAAGAGGGAAATTGGAATGATCTTGTGTTGGGCGATATGAACCCAGATATCTCCTCTGAAGGGGATCCTATACTTTTGAAGACAGATGGCTTTCCTACATATCACTTAGCTTGTGTAGTTGATGACCATCTTATGGAAGTGACTCATGTGTTACGTGGAGTGGAGTGGCAAATTTCAACACCTAAACACTTACAGATTTATAAGTAAATGTTTGCTGAATTCTACAATATTTAATTTTTTGAGATACTTTGCTGTCTAAAAATATTTTTAATACATATTTCCCAGTAAAGTGAAGTCAATGTGTGTCAATATTTTAGTATAGTAATAGTTTTGATTACTGATTAGGTTAATTTAACAAAATATTTGACAATGATTTGATTTTACCAAAAGTTTTAAATTCTGTAATTTACCTAAACTTAAGACTTTTTACAAAATTATAATACAAACTTAACACTTTTTTTCCCCATAATTTGTTGCAGGGCTTTCAACTGGAATCCTCCTGCATTTGGACATTTGCCTCTCTTACTAAATTCAGATGGAACTAAACTGTCCAAACGTCAGGGTGGTGTTACTGTGGAAGAGCAACGTTCTTCTGGGATTTACCCCCGAGCACTTATAACTTGGCTGACACTTGCTGGGGGAGGTTTCAGTCATTTTCCTGAGGGAAAGGGTATTATTCATTCAGAAATGCAGACTATGACTCCTGCAGAGCTTGTGCCTCTCTTTAATCTGTCACAGGTTAATCGAGCGTCATGTCGACTTCCTTTAGAGCATCTGCCTCGCCTTAATCAAACTGAGATTGGACGACAGTTGAAAAATTCTGTTGAGTCAAGTCAGCTGGCTTCTGAACTTATAGGTTTACTTCAAAATTATTATTCAGAAAGGTGAGTGTGGGAATGAGATTAATTGTCATAGATGCAAGTTTTTTATGGAAGTAATAGTATTTGTCTTGGTGGAACAGTTTAGTTTTTTATTCAATTGAAGTCATGAACCAGAAATTAAATTTTCAATTCATTACATTTGAAAGGAAAGTTGTGATGCAGAAGCAAACTACTGATTTTAATACAATATTGAGGTTTTTTCTGTGTAATATTATTATATCAATTTCTGAAAATTTATAGATACTGCATGTTTTACTTTTATATTTGTATTCTAAACAATTTCATTTTAACAGAAGTGAATGGAATGATATCTTATTTTAAATGCCAAGAATTGCATTTGATATTTTAATTTGTACATTGAACAACTGAGAATTCATTTACTTAAAATTTTATGTACCACAAGTATTTAACTTTATATTAAAGTGTTTATGATTTATGCTAGATTAAATGTTTTGTTAACTCATTGAAGATGGTTCTAACAGTATAATTTCTGCAGGCCAGAGCAGAATTCTCTACATCTGGAGAAGGAACATGTTCTTGAAGTTCTGGAGTGGGCATTGCCACGCATACATTCTCTTCATGATTTTCTTTCACCCAAACTAAATTTTCTTTGGGAAGAACCAAATAAACGTATTGAAGGAACAAATGATGAAAGAAAAGCAATACAGGAGGTTCAAGTACTTCTCTCATCTCTACCAAAATCTTCTTTTGAGAAAAAACATTTGTCTTCTGAACTGAAAATAATAGCCAAGCAAGCAGGTGTTCCATTCAGTCGTCTCATGAAGATGGTTCGCATTGCCCTTTCTGGAAAGGAGGCAAGTATAAATATCATTTGAATATTAATAAAATAATTTAAGTATTTTAGCCTTATGAACTTAATGAGAGACATATAATTGTCTAAATAAGTTTGAAATTTGTGTGATGAAAATATGTAGTAACATTATTTAATTGTTCATTATTTCTATGCTTCTAATTTGAAATTTATTCTATAAAAATATAAGGAGTATTTATACTTTTTTTATAATTGAATTCTATATGTGTTTTATCTGCATTCAGTATTATCAGTTTTCTGGAATATTTTAGTGGAATTACTTTTAAAGTTACTATGAAATAATCTGAAAGTTAACTTATGTCTACTGAATAATGAATTTGAGATTGTATTTTACAGGTTACATAGACAGATGTGAAAGTTATTTTTAGCTACTAGTTTTATTCTTCAATACAAATATGTGTAGATAGCTCATTCTGTTGACAAGACACAAGAAGAAATAGAGCATTTGTACTATAAGATGTACATTTATATGTTGTGTTTTCAGAACCAAACTTGAATTTATAGCGAAAACATTGTGTACAAATTCATATTAGTTGTATAAGTGAATTGTAAATGCGATATGTTTTCTCTCTCTCTCTCTCTCTCTCTTTCAATTCCGTAAAGACATTAATTAAAACATAAAACCATAACAGTTATTACTGGTCATTGTTTCTGTGAATGTTATAATATATATATGAAATATACAAAATAAAGAAATATATAGTTCAGGGTCATCCAACTGGCAGCCTGCAATGCCATTTATTGTGTCCCGCAAAAGGGTATTTGTCAAAAGTGAAAATTCCTTGCATCAATGTCGGGCGAGAATATTACACACCTAGTGCATGCACCCTGATGGGGTCGACACCCTCTTAATTTAAAATAGGCTAAGTTTACATGTAAGGATTTCTTCTTGGTTAATTCAAAATCATCCCAATGTGTTTCACTGCATGGTAAGGCCTCATATCACATGTAGTTCCATTCCCCCCCTTCTCATTTCCGTGCAGCTGGGCAAACTACTGAGATCAACATTGCAGGGAAGATCAATGTTGCAAGGAAGTCAAGTGTAGATTGCCAGAATAATGTAAATATGGCCTGCAACCATATGAAAAGTTTTAGTTATGGCCCATGAGGCTTTGCAAGTTTGACACCCTTGTAATAGATCCTTTTTTTTACAAATATATCAGTATTTGTGATTATCTCAAGCATTTTATTGTTGTTGCAGGAAGGTCCAGGAGTGGCAGAGATGCTGGAGATGTTAGGTCCAAAAGTATCGTTATCTCGACTGAATTCTGCACTTACTGCTCCTTAATGGTGATGGTGCTAAAAGCATTATGCTGTATGTCTGCCAAAAATGTTTCCTTAGAATTAAAATGCACCACTATAATTTTCATCAGATGAATTTATTGTACATTGTTCATGAATCAGTCATTTATTTTGTACTTTGTTATTGTTCATGTTTATAAATAAGAAAAATAAGTAGTAATGATTTCATAATTATGAAAGATAAACAGAGTCATTGGTTTGATTTTAAATTTTGTACATAGAAATAAACTTTTTTATTTTATTTTATTTTACATTATTTTTACAGTAACATGTTTTGCTTCACCTGGAAATTACTGAAGCATTGAAGGTTTGAATGTTGAGTTCCTTTTGTTTACTTTTTTATACTTTATGTACATACAGTATACATACATATGTACATAATCATATAAAGTAGGTTATATGTTGCTGCAGAGAAAAACAGCAATTTTTTGAGAGAAGAACTTGTATTGTGGGACCTTTATACCGAAAATGTGGATAAATCATTTGAAAAAACAGTAAATTACTTCCTCTTATACATATCAGAATCCACGATTTGGTGATCTTTGATATAAAAAAATTGATCTTTTGTGAAAAGTGCATCTGTCATGTGTCAACAGTATTAGTACCTGAACTATTCATAGGGATTTTGTTGAAATGAATATTCCTTGGTGTTCCTGCCGTGGCTTGAGACCCTGCAGTTCTGAATACAATTCTTCGAATTTTTGGAGATGCTGTTCATTAAGCCACAGGGACATTTTCAACATTTTCCTAAAAATGATTCCAAACTTGTTTAAATAAGTTCTTGTAAGAATAGAGAGAAATACACTTATATTTTCCCTATTAGAATTAAAATTTCAGTAATGCAATTGTTTGAAATATTTTGGAACCCCTCACACATTATTGAAGAAACAGATTTTTCTTCAAATTAATTTTTTTATAAACTGAGAAATATTGCACAATTAGTTCTTTATTGATGAACCTTTTTATCTCACAAGGGACCTTTGTCAGGCACAGGTCGAAATCTGGCCTAATATTTTTCTATAGATAGATATTCACCATATGTGCTGTGAAAAATTAGCTGCCGTCACGCACTGGAAGTTATTGAAAAAAATACTGAAATTTCTCTTCATTTGAAGTTTACAAACAGTTTATATTGAAATCACTGCATAATATAATTTTATAGTTTCTGTGTCTTTTAAGTTTAATAAGAACAATTTAAAGATTTATTAAGAAAACATTTGTGTTTCCTGGGAGCTGAAATGTACATAAAATCCATACTCTTTGTTTCGGTAAGTCTATAATAGATATTTCAAAGTCTTTAATCTAAGAGGGAGGAGTAATTTGTGATTGACACATAATTAATATTATTTTTAACAAAGATGCAAGTACCACCATTAGCTTGATGTGACTTGTGTATTTTCCTGCATGAGCCACTAGCTAGGGTGAAACCCGGAATGTGTGTGCTATCTAGTTGCTGCTGCATTTACCATTGTTCACTAAATCATAATATTGTTAAGTGTTGTTGGTCTTGTTCAAGTAATATTTCTAAATCTGTGAGCTTGTTTCTTAAAGACTGAACATTTTTATGATATGTGTATGTGTGTGTGTGTGTGTGTGTATATATATATAATATATATATATATATATATATATATATATATATATATATATATTATATATATATACACACATCACACATATAGAGGTAGTCTGTGGGTTCAATGAATGTTGTATGTTAGTTTCAGGGATTTGGGACTAAGAGAGGTACGTTGGAGGCAGGTGTGAGAGTGGCAAGGGGTGGCCGTTGGGATAGGAAATCATGCAAAAATGGAAATAGTAAGTTGAAGGGGGGGAGAGAAGAAGAGAGATGGGGGATGAGGTGTGTGGCTGCGAGGGAATGTCTGCCGAGGGTGAAAGCTTTTGGGCTCTTATGGGCACGAGTTCCAATTTAAGGCAGCGAAACACTAAGCTATACTTCGATTTTTCAATAGTGGCCGATGACAAATGAATCGTATTATCAGTTATAAGCACATTTCTGAGGCCACGAGCCATGTTGAGGACGTTCGCGTAATTAAAATATTCATTTTATAAGGCAGAAGGTTTAAACAAAGACATCGGCCACTATTGAAAGATTGATATAAATTAAAAATTGTTAAAGTTAAAAAAATATACGCCATTTCGTTTTTATCCTGCAGATTACAAAAAATTGAACAACTATCAATAAAGCTATGTTCCGTTTTACTGCCACCGTATTTCCGCCGGGTGTTTCATATTATGAAACACGTGGAAAATCCTTGGTGGTAGTCACGATATTTTTTACTAAAAAACGGCTTGAAATATTTTCTTAAAATTTTCTACTCGTATATATCAAAGACCGGTACAAAAATTTTGCGCCGCCGGTTCCATTTTTTCGCGAACACTAATTTGGAATAAGTTAACATTGCAAAAGTACAATATTGAATACAGATATTCTTGTCTTCAGTGAAATATGTTCTAAAAAGTCTGATTTAAAAAAAAAAAGGCAACGTATAATTTTTTCAAGCGAATGATTTTTGCAGAATTTTGAAATAGATTTTTAGCTAATGAGAAAGTATGTGCAGTAGTAACACCAATAGTTACAACATTTGTGTTATGCATGGCCATTAAAACAAATCGTACAATATTTTCACATACATTTAAATGAATTGTGAGAAAAAAGATCATACTGTGCAGCACTAGAGTATCAGCTTGCATTTATTGAAAAGCAAAAAGGTAGCTAGTGCGATTCAGCCTTTTTTGTTCAAATTGCTCAACAATGAAAGAAAGGATTTCTATGAGGATTTGTCAGAACAATGATGAGAGCAAACATTTCATGAAGGTAACTACGTATATTATGTTCACTTCAGAAGCTTTCCTCACAAGAACATAAATAAGGATAAGGAAAATAGATAGTGACTTTTTAAATGCATATTTTACACTTTCAAATTCCTAATTTACATTTTTTAATGCCTACTTTGCCTGCTAATTTCTACAGTTTTCGTGCCTAATAATGACTAAGAAGCTGATTTTGATGACCTTAATGATCGCCAAAAATGATCAATAAAATGCTCTTAAAATGCTTTAAAAATGCCCTAAAAACAAAGAAAAATGACGTAAAAAATTGATCAAAACCCCTTCATTTGAACACTTTAAGCTGTTGCATATGTTACTGATGATGGAGGATTCTTCCTTTTGTTCAAGTGTACTCAGCTTGTAGACTTTGGATTTGGACTGTTCTTTAAAAGAAAATCTCTACCTTTATTTATCGCGAAATCGTCCGACCTGACAATGGCGCCGATAAACGTCACAGGAACCTTAGATTACATTGTACTCACAACAGCTGACTTTACAATATATGAGCGAAGAAATTGAATAGGCTACTCAGGAATTCTGTGGTGAACATCTGTTGCACCTCGTAAATATTGTTTGAAGCAAATACGATTAAAAGATATTAAAATCGATGAAATCAGCGAAAATGCAGTAAAAATGACGTAAAATATGTCTTAAAGTCAAAATAAATGAAAAAAGAAAGAAAGGGCTTATAAAAATGGGTCATTTAGTTTCGTCATAAGAAAAAATGAATTTCTATACTAAACGGCATTGTTCTAAATTTAGAAAATGACATTTCATTAAGATCCGCCTCTGGTAATGACATTGTACACGCCCTTGACAAGCCCGTAAAGTTGCGCAGCGAGGTTTCTATTCTCTAGAGCACTCCGGGCACTACTTCTTTGACATTGACAAACAGAAAGTCGTTGTGAAGCCAAAGTTTGCTCACTGCATGCAAGAATAATTAGCATTCTTCTGCAGTGGCGGACTGTGGGTTCAAAATTTGGGGAGGCCCAGAAAAATTCAGGCAGAAAATCATAATGAGAAATTGAAAGTCCTTAGTTTACTGCTAAACTGTTATTGGCGACATTCCAAATAGAAAATAAAATTGAATTAATATTTCTTTTCTTTCAGTGTCTCTTCTCGAAAACGGCACTTCCAATAAAGATTCTATTGCGTACACAGAACACGTGGTACTGGGCCTACCACACAATGGATCCATTCATGGTTGTGATCCATCGCATCCTCTGTCTATGACCGCAACACGCCTTCACAGGCGGCGGCCTGACGCGCGAGATCCTCTGGGTCAAACGAACTTCAAAGCTGGACAACACGAAACTGCTCTTTTCTTACTGGTTGACGGACGTTGTCATGGCAACAGGGAGGTGCACGTCAACTTAGGCCATCGGTATCCTGCAGGCACAAGCAGTAAACTGCTTGGCTCCATATTATTTTGTAACGCTGTCGCTATAATTGCAACAAGAGAAAATACTTCTTTTAAATGATTATTCGTCAGCCGTAAACATTTATGTCAATTTTTACAAAGTTAAATCTTACAAATTTTCAGTTAAAAAATATGTATCTTTTAGTGTTGATAATCAATTTTGTGGGAAGGCTTGGCCTCCCCACAAAATCCGCCACTGCCTTGTTTTATTTTTGATACAGACGCATCAAAGCACGATGGTTCAGTTGACTGCATTCGTAGAACACCCCAGTTAACAGTCATTTTGGTCATTATCCATATTGGTGTCACCCGGTGAATTGGCTCGAAAACAACAAACCTGTGACTGTCCCTGTTTCGTTAGCCATGACGGCTCTGAGCAACTCGGAAGCCAATGATTGGTTGATTTATATTATTGTAATCAATGAGTTAATGATGGCCGGTCGGCAACAATCGAGCTTCTTGTCAAGCTCTTACTATTGACTGAGAGTCCATTTTGAAATAGAAGCATTTTTTAAATTAAATCAAAGTACATTAGACATAAAATTAAAATTTATTGAAAAGATCGAACTCTCAAATCGTAAATATTTTCTTGGTTCTTCTCTCCCAGAATATTTGTAATTTCTGTTTATATACATACATATATACATGTACAATTTGTGCCTTTATTGATTTCTGTTCATTGGCCACATGTAGACATTCTGTTGTTTAATAACATTTCTCGCAGAATACATTTAAAATACTGTTGTGATTTGTAAAAGGATTATTAAATAAGATATTCCATTCACTTTGTCGTTAATAATTCCACAGGCGGTTTCAAGGCCACTGATGAATTGACATTACATGTAGCAGCAAATGGATTTATCTGGGAAACTCAAATCCTCGAGTGGATTGATTGATTAGTGATTCCGGACGCATTAACTGTAAGGTCATTAGTATCGTAAGTGTAGTGCATGTTTTTATCGCTGGAGTAGGAGGAGATGACGAGGTCGGGCGCCGACCTATTCGTCGGCTTGCGTGGATTTTCCCATCCAGATATCTCCCACCGCCGCAGTCAGAACAAGTTCTAAGCTCCCGATCGGCCTACAGGCATGTGTGTAGTGTAGTACGTGTAAGTGGAAGTGTGTGTAAGGGGAGAGAGTAGGACAAAGAAAGCGAAGGAAAAAAAATGCACGCGGTCCGTGGCCCGTTTGCGAGGGTACTGCTCCGGCATTCGTCTGGTGTTGATCGGAGAAACCACAAAAACTATCGATCAGAGCTGCCACTTGAAGTCTGCTTAGATAGCGACTGAATTCGATCTAGCTATCTAGATAATGTCGAAAATCCCACCACGGTCGGAACTCGAACGTAGGACCCCCCCGGTCAGAGGCCCTGCAGTGACATCAGTTGATGCCCTGAGCCACCTCTCATTGT